CAAGTAGCAGTATCGATGGGCTCAAGTGTGGCCAACAATAATGAGGCTGGCCCAGGATCGGGCAGTGTTTCGCTCTGCTGTGCATAAGGTTGCTATGAGTCAGTTCTGACTTAATGGCACCTAACAACAACAACAAATTGGCAAAAAAGAAGTAAAAGTGTATTTGCAGACAATATGATTCTATATAGAGAAAATCCCAAAGACTCGGCAAAAATAAACTACTGGAAATCTTTGGAAGATTCAGCTATGTGGCAGGGTACAAGATCAATATACAAAAACCAGTTGGATTCCTATATACTAATAAAGACAGCTCTGAAGAGGAAATAAGGAAAACAATACCATTTACATTAGCCACCCAAAGGATGAGGTATTTAGGAATAAATCTAACCAGAGAAACAAAAGACCTTTATAAAGAAAACTACAATACACTAATACAAGAAACCAAGAAATTTATAGACATGGAAGAATGCACCATGCTCACGGATAGGAAGGCTTAACATTGTGAAAATGTCAGTATTATCCACAGTAATTTACAAATATGATGCAATCCCATCTTGCAGACAGTACCCATCAAACCTAGCAAGGACGGCTTGCTGACCAGAATTCAACCAGATGAAAATAAAAAAGTGTGATATAGGGAGCAAGAATAAATTGCTACAACCTCATCAACCAGATCTTTAATTATGGATGAAGCTGCTCAAAATTCCAACCAAATACGGAAGGATATCAGGGAAAAAGCATGTCTCCTCAGTACACTAAACTGATAGGGATGGACAATTTAGACTTCTACTACCAAAATTGGGGGGATAAAAAGCATGAAGTAGCTGGATTACAAGCTTTCATGAGGGTGCTTAGTGCTAGAATGTGGGAGTAAGGTAGAAACCCAATTGAATAATTTCCCTCCTGTCCAGATGGGCCTGATAATGAGGGGGATAAGACTTTATGATACAATTGCAACTAATTGTTTTCAACTCTAATGGCAATTGTTACAATTGTACATATAGAGGTGTAACAAAATCGGGAGCACTTAATCTGGAACAGAGGATCCTAGGACCACCAAGAGGAAAGAAATGAGAGAGAAGGATCCTGGCCAGAAAAGCAATGCCAGCAGAGATGGTGGCACAGACAATGGTACAGAGAGACAAAACATGGGTGGGCTTTAGGCCCATGGACTGAGAAAAGCAGTGTGCCTGCAGACAGGAAGCTGGCTTGCAAAATGTGCCTTTGGACATTTAAACAAATATATATTTACAATGTAGTATGTGTACACACACACCCTGAAAATACTGTTTGCTAAGGGTACATGGAGGGTATTATAATCATTACAATGTTATGCTGAATGTAAAAATGGTGATCTGTCCTATAAGCCTTCACTCACTCAACAAACTATAAAAGCTTAAAAAACAAAAGCAAAATAAAAAATAAAGTCACCCACTTGTATTTTTGTTACAGCAGCACTAGAAAATGAAGACACCCCCTTTTGTAAGCTTTTGTGGCACCCTGAGGAGCTCTATCCTACACTGTAGGATTTTCAAGTCAGTATGGTGTCACCTCCAGTTCACCTTTGTACTCCAAGCATCCTGTCCAGTTCATGGTATGGAGCAGGTGCTCAATAGAGGAAATGAACTTGAGAACTTTGTAGAAAAATTGACCAAGTAATGTGAACTATAAAATCTACAAGTTGGGACTATGGTATTTCAACTTTTCTGTACATCTGCAAAGTTTTATATTTGGGGGGAGGGGAGTAACATAAATAATATATGCCCTAAACTGTAAGTCTTAAGAGAATATAAAATCATGAGAAGTTAAGGCACACAACAAGATGTTGTTGTTGTTGTTATGTGCCGTGGAGTCAGTTCCAATTCATAGCGACCCTGTACAGGGTTTCCGAGGCTGTAAATCTTTATGGGAGCAAAAAGACTCATCTTTCTCCCGCGGAACAGCTGGTAGTTTCGAACTGCTGACTGTGAGATTAGCAGCCCAATTCGTAACCACTATGCTACCAGAGCTCCTTACACAATCAGATATTGGGGTGGGGGGGATGGGGGGGGATAAAAAAGAAAAAAAAATCATTTCCATTTCTTCAATACTGCTGTTGCTTCCCAAATTTCTCCCTACTTCCTGGCCTCTTGCTCGATTTCTGTCATCTCTCCTCTCCACCTTTTCCTTCCTATCCTGCTGCCATTCCAATCTCTATGTACACACACACACACACACACACACACACACACACAAGCCAAGGCATCATGGTAGGCTGTTAGTACCTGAGGGATCATCAGAAGTGGGGCCCACGCTGATCTGGACAGTTCCAAATGGGGATGTTGGACCATCTCCCAGGAGGCAGAATGGGGGTACTAAGGACTCTGTCTTGACATTCTGCACCTCCCCTATACCAGGTGCCTGGGTCAGAGTGGCAGTAGGGCAGAAGGCACAACGAAGGAAAAATAAAACAATAAGAGAAGTTGTGAGAGTAAGAGCAAGAACAAAAACCTTAGTGCTTATAAACCACCAATCATCTTACACTCAGCCTTGAATAGTACTGACCATCTCCCTAAGCTGTCGCTCGACACTTATTCTCTCTACTTTATTTGTGGGCGAACTGAAGCCTCAAAATTTCAAATATTGCCTTAGAATAGGCATCCTGGAAAGAAGAAGTCCCAGAATTCTCAGCAATTAAAAACTCTCTTCTTTTCAGCCCCACTATTGTTACCCACGTCTGTGTACTAAAAAGACTCCATGTCCACTTTTAGAAACAAAACTTGGTGGCAGTGGGTTAAGTGCTGGATGGCTAACCACAGGTTAGCAATCAGTAGTTCGACCCCACCAGTCATTCTTCAGGAGAAAGACCAGGCTGTCTGTTCCTGTAATTATTTACCACTTTAGAAACCCTATGGAGCATTCTACTCTACCCTAGAAGGTCACTACGTCAGAATTGCCTCAAGGGTAGTGGGTAGGTCTTTACTTGAAAAGTAGAGACATGAACATGAGGGAATCAGAAAAATCACAAAGGCAAGGAAGAAGTGTACCCCACACCCAACTCAGGGCTCACAGCACACAAATCATTTCATCAGCATCTATGGATGAAGGGAATGGAGCAGCGTCCCTGCACAGAGAACGGGTGGAGGGGAATGGCTCTCTCACCTGGCTGAAGGGCTCTGAGGACAGACGTGATGAATCAGAACTGAGGGAGGAGGAAGAGCAGGGGGAGGATGGTTCAGACTTCACCTGAAGATCTGGAAGAAAAGGGGTCAGAAAACCACCAGGAAGCAAAGTATGAGGGTAGGAATTCTCCCGACTAGGAAAAGGGAGAGGGAGCAAATAAAAGGGATACTAAAGGGGAGACAAGTACAAAGGTAATTGAGTAGAGGTGGTGGGAAGATGCAGGGAATTTCATGGTTTCTGAGAAGGATGAGGGAACCACAAAGCATGTTACCTGGGAAGATAGGCAGGGAGTCCCATGTGGGTTCGAAAGGACTGACGTCCATTCCCACATCCAAGGAGCTCCTGTCAAACTGAGTAAGGGAGGGAATTAAAGGGCAAGACCGTGAGGAAGAAAGAGTGATTCCAGATGGCTCTAGTCTGGGAATGAGTCCTAGTTCTGGTACCACTCCCGCCCAAGGTGAAGGAGCAATACCGGGACATCTTGCTCTGGGCAACGGAATAGCTGCGTCTGCTCCTCAGCCACTTCATCCAAGCCAGTATACAGGGCACAGTCTGCAAAGGGTGAGGAGTGTCAGGGGAGTCCGGCAGCTCAGCCTAAAGATCTGCACACAAGCCTCCGCCCCATCCATCCCTCATTGGCTTGAAGAGTGATACAGCCACTTGAAAAGCGATACTGCCGAAAAACTTCTGCCTGCCTTTCCCCTACCCCAGAACAGCTCGACGTTCCTGCAGCGAGTGGAGGTCTTTCTCGACCCCACAGCCCTTAAATGCCCGGCGAGCCCCCTAGCTCCGCCCTCCATCAGATGGTTTATTCCGCGTTTGCCCAGCCTTCCTCTTTAGGCCTCCGATTCCTTCCCGCGTGCCTCAAGGACACAGTCGGCCACAGCCCCCTCCCCTCCCCGAGGCCTCACTCCGCAGACCCCAGTCCTCTGGGCTCAGCAGATTGTCCGTGAAGAAACGCGTAGGGTCGGCAATCTCGCTGAGGAGCATTAGCTCCGCCATCTTTCCCCCCCACCCCCCAACCATGAGACGGTTCTCAAGGCCCGCCTTTCTCCATCGTCAACGAATCATTTGACTCTCGGAATAAAAAAAAAAAAACAAAGGCGCCCCGGAAGCGCTACCGACCAGTAGGAGACCCGAGTGCTAAACACATGGATCAATAGACTAATTGGCTGTACAGCCCCGACCAATAGGAACAAGGCAAAAAGCGGTAGCCTAGTCACCGTACCCGGCTGTAAAAATTTGCGCATGCGCCAAACAGATCGCAAACGATAAAAACGCTTCTTGGGCGATGTAGTTCCCAGGGTTTAAAGATCCGCCATCTCCCTCAGCCCTCAGGGAACTACCTAGACGTCGGAAGCACACGTAACCATATAAAAACTTTTAAAGGAAAGGAAACGAAACAAGGTCCTCAAGTAATAAGGCAAAAGCCGTAAATGGGATATGGGGAGAAACCCTCCCTCTATTCGCCTCCCCCCATCCCTCAAGTTTCACGGCACAGACCACAAATCACAGGTTTCGATCTCTTTTAAGATTGAATCTTTAATCAGCAAACATCTTACGTAGACCCTGAGCCAACTCAGCATCTTGTTTCTTCCCCTGAATGACCACTTTTCCCAGCTCCTCTTGAGCTGCCCTGTTCTTTGGGTCTGCAACCAGCACCTTCTTGAGATCATCTGTTGCCTTTTCCAGGTTCCCAAGGGCAGCTTGGGCAACTCCCCTTCGGTACAAGGCCTTCAAATGGCCAGGTTCTCGTTCCAGTGCCCTGTCACAGCTCTGGGCCGCCAACCCAGGCTGCCCTAACAGCAGTTGGCAGGCAGCCAGATTGGCATGCAAGGCAGTTCGTTCAGGTGGGCCAGGCGGAGGTAAAGTCAGCAGCAGCCGAAGAGCCCGTCCATAGCATCGAGCAGCCCCTTCAGGGTTCCCAGCTCGAAATAACTCTGTACCCTGAAGACGTTCATCCCTGGCCAGAGCCTCCTTCTCGCTGGCCTCCAGCTCCCAGGAGTCCCGACCCTGAGTGAAAGAGGCCAGTGTGAGTCTGATAGGAGGACCAGAGTGCCCAGGTAGCTGAAGCTCTGCCTCCTCGCCTTGACACATGGACTCCAAACATTTTTCTAAGAGCTCTCTCCAGGTTTTCTCCCTCCATGGCCCTATCCCCAAAGTTAGCTCTGTCCAGCCTTCTGGCAGTCCTGACCCAAAAGGAAACCCCAAAACCAGTACCCGACAGTGAGAGCCCAGCTTTGGTTTATCCAAGCCTTGGCCACGGGTTACTATCTTCTTGACAAAGCTCCCATCAGGACAGTACCAGAGATTAGAAACACGAAGAGGCTCTGGCAGCTCACTGGATGATCTATGAGACTTATCAGAGTCTCCTTCGAGTTCAGTGGTCAGTTTTTTAGTTGCTTGAGAATTCTCTAGAATTTGACTGATAGGATCCGAGCTTCCGCCCAGCTCAAGAATTTCAGTAGGAGGGTCTTTGGGTAGATACCTAATCCGAATTGTTGAATCAAGATTCTCCTGGGAATTCTTTTTCCATTGTTGTTTCGTTTGAGAGGTGTCCTCTCCCGCTGGATTGCCTGGTGGCATCTCCATTTGGCTCTATGGTCCCTTCCACCAGGGGCGGGTAGTTTTAACGAAAGAGGGAGGGGCCAGATTCAGGTCAAGAGCTGAAAAGAAAATCAAAACAATGCTAATTGCTGAATTCTTATTTAGATTACTCTCTCATCCGTTCTTCTGAGAGTCAGGCCCCACTGAGAATCCCCAATTCCACTACACCCTTTTGGACTACTTTCTGCTCTACCCCACGCTCCGTTGCGCCCCAATCTAATTAAAAACTATAAACTCCACAATTCCTCGCGGTTCAAGTAGCCGCCCAACTACGGAAAGACAATTAGATTAAAAACTACCCTAGAAGCCAAAGCGCCTATACCGGTGGAAGTACCCGGTCCACTCGCATCACCTCTTCTCCCGAAGCTAAGTGCTTACTGAGAACAGTCCTCGGAATCTTGCCCTAAAAGGAAAGGAAGACTTTTGGGATACCGCGGGAGAGTCGGGAAGAGACGCTAACTGCGATCTCTGTAGCCCGCAAGACGGCGAATCAAGTCAAATTCCTGGCAACCAATCGGGAAGAGGGAGGCGTCTGGTTACCCCGCCCATTGGACGTGACATCATTTCCCCCATAAACAAGGAAACGCCAGGCCTTAGCAACCGATTTAGGTCTTGGCTGGGGGTCCGGTTGACCAGGTTGTTTGGAATCTGAAGAAGTCCTGGAATGAGAGAGAGACTTAAGCAAATTAAAAAGAAGCATGAAGTGGCAGAGGGTGGGATGGTGAATGATAGTGGCGGCAGCCCAGTCCTTTTATCTGGCTGACCTTAGCCCACCTGTGCTATTATTGTTCCCATGTTACGGGCTCCCAGCCCCTCCTCATTCCTCACCCTTTTCCATTACTCAGCTCTTTCACTCCCAGAGTTGTTGTTGTTGTTAAGTGCCATCGAGTCACTTCTGACTCATAGCGACCCTGTATAGGGTCTCCAAGGAGCAGTTGGTGAGCTTGAACCACCAACCTTACAGTTCAAATGATTTTGCAGTCTGATGCATTAGCCTACAGTGCCACACCAGGACACCAGCACTCCCAGAGTGCTCCAAGATAAATAAACCCTCTTTATCCCTAACAGCCCTATTCCCTTAGAGAGTCACCTGAGGCTTCTCTTTTACTGGTTCCCTCATGTCTATTGTGGCTTTTCACGTTTTCCTACATCAAGAAATCTTACACAGTGCTTCTCAAATTTTAATATGCGTGCATAGCAATTGAGGAATTTGTTAACTTGCAGATTATGGTTTAGGTGGTCTGGGGTGGGGCTTGTGATTCTGCGTGTCTAACAAGTTCCCAAATGATGCCCATGTGGCTCCTCCATGGGTCACACTTTGAATAGCATGCTTCCAGGATAACCTCATTTTCCAGCACTGTATCTGACAGTGTTTCTCTGCTATTCATAATGTTTTCAGTGACTAAATATTTGGAAGTAGTGTGTCACTCCTTCTTCCTAGTCTGTCTTTGTCTGGAAGCTCATCTGAAATCTGTCCATCATGGGTGACCCTGCTGGTATTTAAAAATACCCTTCCAGAATCACAGCAACTCACAAACCACTACAGTAAGACAAACTGACAGACTGTGGAATTGATGCTTTTGACTTATGGTGTTGGAGGAGAATATTGAAAGTGCCACAGGCTGTTGGAAGAAGTACAGCCAGAGTGCTCCTTGGAGGCCAGGATGGTCGAACTTCGTCTCTCATACTTCGGACAATATTGTCAGGAGGGACCAGTCACTGGAGAAGGATATCATGTTTGTTAAGGTGGAGGGTCAGAGAAAAAAGAGGAAGACCCCCAATGAGATGCATTGGCCAAGTGGCAGCATTGATGGACTCAAGCGTGGCAACAGTAGTGAAGTTTGTCCAGGATCAGCAGTGTTTTGTTCTGCTGTGCATAAGGTCGCTATGAGTCGGTACCAACTCGATGGCACCTAACAACAACAAAGGCACCGTGGGTTAATCGCCAGACTGCAAAGCCGTTTGAATTGCAAGGTCGGTGGTTCAAACCTACCAGCTGCGCCTCGAAACCCTATGCAGGGTTGCTATGGGTCAGAACCGACTCCATGGCGCATAATCAACACCACCACCAGGATAACTTCAGGAGTCCTGGTGTGGTGCTGTGGGTTAATGCGCCAGACTACAAAGCCATTTGAACTGCAAGATCGGTGATTCAAGACCAGGTGCTATTTGAAAACCCTATGCAGGGTCACTATGAGTGGCAGCCGACTCCATGGCATACCAACAGCAGCAGGATAACTTCATTTCATTCTGTACACATTTTGCTCTGTGCTCCTTTAGTTTGTCCTACATTTTGCATGTATAACTAGTATGACCGGCTCCACTCCTCGTGTAGCAATGGGAAACTGGTCCTTTTCCCTTTTGTGATTTAGCCTTGCTTGTCCAGCTCTCTCTACAGGATGAGTCACCACCACTCTAATGCTTGGATGCCCTGAGTTCCTAATGAAAATGAATCCACCTCTTCTTCCTCCCTCTAGGCTCCTATGAAAATTGATCCATCTTTCCTCCCTCCCCTTTCTCGTCTCCATTTAAGGGAAAGACTGGCAGTCTACAAGGAGTCACAAAAGATTTGATTACACCCTAATCCCTGGATAAAAATTGCTTCTGTGTGTCTTAACTAAGAAGGTCACCCTCCAATAATCAGATTATTTGTAGTAAAAGAAAATGTATTCTGTTACAATTGTATTGTTTTCTAATGTTTACTGGATTTTGTTTTGTGTGTGTATAATTTTCAATTCCAGCAGACTCCACAGGGCAAGAACTTTGTTTCCTATTTCTTTTGTGTTTCACTTCCTTCCCCATTCATTCATTCAACTGATATTTATTGAGCATCAGCTATGTGTTAGGAATTGTGGGTGCATAGGTAAGTGAGACAGACACAGTTCCCGCCCTCAGAGCTTCTAGTCTGACCAAAGATTAGTTAACGGTGATGTAAAGAAGTATAGGTGCTACGAATGTCAATAATGGGCAATGAGCTAACAACTCTTGAGGAGACATTTTTGCTGCTATCCAAAAGATGAATTGGAGCTAGACACCAAAGAACATACCGACAGGTCTCAATACTGTGAAACACTGAATTGAAAGGTCAGCATTGCCTCTTTAGGTGATCCTTTGGCACCACTGTGATTGTAAATGCAAATGTAAACATAAACATTGAAATCCCTGGAAGAATAATCCTAACTATCCAAAATGTAAATGGTTTTATTTTTTTAAATAAAATGAAAACACAGATTTTTAAAGCTTTAAAGGAGGATTCGGGTCCCTAGAGAAGGGTATCCATGGACTTGCAGATTCTCCCTGGTTGAGGAAAATAGCACTAGGGAAGGGCCATTATGTGAAGATTCAGTAATAGAAAAGTGTGTAGACTTTTCTCCCAAAGTGCAGATACTGTATGAATGCTGACTGACTCACTCTGCTTGCTTGCCCCCAGCAGGGCTCAATTCTCTGGGGGCAATCACAGAACTCAGAAAAGAGAAGAAAACAAGTCAAAAGGATTACAGCCTCCAACCTTACTAGAGTATGGGGTCTGAAGAAGACACAAGAAGAGTAAGACAAATGAAAAGTTGTTTACCTATTGAGACAGAGGCTTGGATTCAGGAATGAGGACAGAGCATTGTGTTCTTCCTCTTTGTCTACCCTTCTCCCCTAAAGAATTGGGAAATGAAAATGAAGAAAAATATGCTTGAGGGGGAGAGATGTAAAGGAATCTTAACACTCCACAGGTGGCTGGGAGATTCAATCCCTTCTTCTTACTACAACTGCCCTTCTGCCCCCTCTCTTCCTTTGGTGTTGCAGAAATTAGGCTGGAATGAGGAGAACATAGGCACCTTTGAAATGATACTGAGATTATGGGAGACTCTGGCTTAAAGTCAAAGAGATATTTTAGAGAATGAGATTGAGGTAAAGACACTGATTCTGCTCTCTGTGATTGTAAAAAGGAAGTCTCATTCTGTAGAATCCTCCCCTCATCACTCACTATAAAGGGCAATTGATGCCTTCTTCAAGATCTTTCTGAAAGCAAGCCTGACAAGTTTGTGAGGATTTACCTGGAGAACACCAAACCCAAAATCAGTTGCCACCAAGTCAAGTCATGGTGACTCCATAACACTCCACTCCACTGGGTTTTCATGGCTGATTTTTCAGAAGCAGATTGACAGGCTTTTCTTCTGAGGCAACTCTGGGTGGGTTTGAACTGTCAGCCTTTTGGTTAGTAGTTGAATGTTTAATCCTTTGCACCACCCAGGACTCCTACCTGGAAAACTGTTGATAGCTGCTGTTGAGTTAGACTCTGGCTCATGATGACCCCTTTTGCCACAGAGTAGAACTTCTCTGTAGGGTTTTCTTGGCTGCTGTAAATTATTATTTTTTTTTTTTAACTTTTTATTGGGAATTGAGTGAAGGTAAGCAGACAAGATCATCAGCTTTACTTTCAACCAATCATACATTTTGTTTCATCTCAATCCTTATTCTCCCCTCCCTGTAACAACAGTTATCCTGCTTCTACCCTGTGGCTTCCCTTTTACATCTTATTTTTCACAAATGAACAAAGCAAAAATATTTTATGTACACATATAAAACAAAAAAAAATATATTCATTTAAATGTTCAAAGAGCACATTTTGCAAGCCAGCCTCATGCCTGCAGGTGCATAACCTTTTTCAGTCCATGGGCCTAGAATCCTTAGCTGCTCTATGCCTCTAGGCCATCGCCTCTGCCACCGTCTCTGCTGTGGCCGCTTTTCTGAGTAGGATCTCATGCTCCACTCATGCTCTTCCTTCTTAATGGTTCTGGGATCCTCTGTTCCTGAAATGAAAGAGTAACTACTCTCCACTTTAGTCCTTGTGTGGTGCTGTGGGTTAATGTGCTAGACTGCAAAGTCAGTTTGAACTGTAAGGTTAGTGGTTCAAGCTCACCAGTCACTCTTTGGAAACCCTCTGGAGGGTTGACATGGGTCAGAACTGACTCAACGGCACTTAACAACACTTT